TTTATACATGCAATGGTGTCCAACAAGGAAGATCACTTTGCTTAATCTCGTCACTGATAAACTAATGGGGCAAAATCTGGAAGGACTTCAAAACACAGTTGTCCAGATATCTCCAATAAAGAACCTTAGTGATCCGGAGTACAAAGGCGAAAGGTTCTCATTTGCGTGCGAGTGCGAGTACATCTAAACTCTCCGGAAGCTTTTATACATGCAATGGTGTCCAACAAGGAAGATCACTTTGCTTAATCTCGTCACTGATAAACTAATGGGGCAAAATCTGGAAGGACTTCAAAACACAGTTGTCCAGATATCTCCAATAAAGAACCTTAGTGATCCGGAGTACAAAGGCGAAAGTGTTCTCATTTTAAAAAAATAAGACGTAGAAGCATTACTGGAAGAGCTGACCTAAGTCATTCAATTCTTCCGCATATATTCACCTTCACTAAAAAACAGTCATTCTATGGGAATGCAAGAAGCAACATCGGAAGTTGTGGAAATCTATACGGTTCTCGAAAGTTGCACAAACACTGGCGATAATGCAACAGACAAAGCCAACCCACGGATATTCACGGTCAGAATCGCGTCTGCCAGCTTGCGTCATTTGTAACATAAAAAAGACATCACTGGGCCTCAAAGGACGCGTTCATTGGGCCACACTGCATGGTTGTATTGTTGTACAGCTGTGAAACTTGGCAACTTCAGGTAAGGGTATGGGCGAATTCAGAGCCTTGGCCGCTGGTCTCCCAGAACTATAGCGGGAATAGGCTGGAATCAGCGAGCTCGCAACCATGTGACCAGGCAATGAATCCTTCGTGAAATAGACAGTTCACTGAGAGAACGAATTCAGCACTGCAAGACAAGGTAGCTGGGTCATGCGTTGCATGTTCCGAGATAGCTGTTGTAGAGCAAAGTGCTTTCATGCCTAATATGGGGTGGCGAAAACCTAGAAGTGAATAATCTGTCATAAGAGACTGAAGGAAATCACCGAAAGTGAAACTGTTGGTGCTCTCCGGTTTCCACAATGGGGTCCACCTAAACCCTCGTTGTTCTCGGCTAGGAACATTGAACGATATTGCAGCCAACCGGTGTCAGTGGCGTTCGTGCTGTCATTTTACATTATCGAATCATCAGCGAACAAAACGGTGGTATATATGACCGGTGTACAACAAGTACGCGGTTTTACGGCTGAAGATGATCATGAGGACGATGATGACGTTGAAATTTCAGGCACCTTAAATGCTTAAAATGGGCTGACCCTGTCTCATTCTCTCCTCTGATTCTTTCTCCTTTCTATAATAAGACGTTATTTAAGTAAACTGCAGCAGGCAAGCACCAGTATTCTCATTTTGTTCTGCTGTCAGTGAGCAAGTGGAAGACTCGGTTGTGAGTAATAACAGCTAGAACCTTTTTCACCTTGTCCGCAAACTGTGGTCAGAAGAAAGCCTACCAATAATGTCAGTGCAGAGAAGAACGGTATAAAGACTCATTGCAAGTCCCACCACCTGTTTGATGGACGAAAAACTTAAAATATCAAATCAACTGACTGAAGGCAGCCGGTATGAAAAACCAGCTCAACGCCAGCACCACAGTGGGAAGTAAAGTGCTCAATTCCAACGAAATCAAACTTTGTGAGAAAACATATCACCTAGAGCTGACAGCTTTTCCATGTCCTTAAAAGATGGAGAAGGAACAGTTCAGTTTGACAAAATGCACGCAGGAAGTTTGGAAGAAACTGTCACGGTAGTAATAGATGTTCCTGTAGTATTTCTGTCTTCAGCAAAGTTGTTAGATCGTAATATACGGATCGTCAAGGCATACGTTCGGTTACTGTAGCTCCTAGGTTGCCTACAGATAACATTCTATGTGGACCTATCAAACCTCATGACGGGTAGAGTTGGTACAACCGAACAGGGTCCCACCTTGGTCATGGATGCACTGACCACACCTTCACCAACAACTTCCCAAACGCCACCATATACAAGGAAGTCCAACAACCGTCATTTTCCTAGACCTGAGAGCAGCTTCTCACTCAGCCAATTGCGCCAAATGTGGAAAAGTCTCTACTTCAACGGAGTGGCGAACACTTGTCACAGATCCGTTTTTATGGTAAAATATGATGGAAGTCCAACAACCGTCATTTTCCTAGACCTGAGAGCAGCTTCTCACTCAGCCAATTGCGCCAAATGTGGAAAAGTCTCTACTTCAACGGAGTGGCGAACACTTGTCACAGATCCGTTTTTATGGTACGGGAAATATGATGGCGCATGCACTTTGAAGTGTATCCACCAAAACAGGTCGCAGATTTATGGCTACCGACCAGCGTGATGCTTTATAACCACCCACAGGAACCCTTCACTTTATGTGGTAGATAATCAGCTGCCATATTAAATGAACTTCGTCACCTAAGGTGTCTCCAATGAGGTCCACAGTCTATCATGCCTACCTTTTTCGAGAAATGAATTTTCAACGTTCGCCATAGTACCGTTCATCTTGCCATCTTCTTCAAAGCCAAACCGGTGTCATCTCAGTATGCCTTGTTAGGTGTGAAGAAAAATACACGCAAGCTACCCCATTCCAGTCCATATTTAATCGCCAGCTCAGAGTGACCATCACTGCTATTGACGGGGCGCACAAGACCGACACCACACTTATAATACTTTTCGGTATACGTTCCACACTTAAACTGGACGTGAAAATCTTCGGTACTAGGCTAACTTACAACCAGCTCTTGCGCTTTTTCTGGGACCACTTCTTCACAGCTCCCAATACCTACTGCTGTGATGTTTCGTTCCCTAAGCATCTTGTAGCCTAGTGTGTTATGTATGCCCTGCCGAAGCTCGTCTTTCCAACCGCAAGTTCTCCTTCCACAGGGCTCGATCACGTGCACTCAGGTTTTTCTACACGGTCAAGTAACCCCAAAACCGCTGAAGCACCCAAACAAAAATTCACTAGAAGTGCAAGGTTGTTATCACAGACCGTTTTTGGCGAGATGAGACCGGCTTAAACTAGGCTGGATCTCGGCGTCCGGGCCTAAGTCACCGCCTATCCCAAAGACAATCCTGCCTGTTTCATCACCCGTTTACCAGGCTTTACCCCTGCTGATCCTGTCCAACAAGACCCAATGATTTTCGTCCTTCAGTGTCCACTCATTCTGAAAATTAGACCCATTGGTCTCGATGTTTCACCGAGTTACGTCATCCTAAGTTGTGCAGTTCTATGCTGTATGTATGTATGTATGTCATTCATACATTCGACTCAGCTGTTTTTGGTGGCATTTGTTCCACTTAGCTGGTATTAGCTTAGTCTTCACAATGATACTTTCTGACCTTACATTTTTTAGTCTTCAAAGTTCCGGAGTCCGCCATAGTACCAAAATAAAGCAACTCTTCAGAGTTAACACCCTTTCGTGGCCTAACTGCTACGTTGGCGAATAGCGCCACATTACCGAAGCCTAGATAGGAGCGTCGAGATGCAGGTTAGGTTTGAAATACGATCCTTCCGGTCAATATGTTAGCGTATTAACCATCAAGCTATCTCTGGGTTAAGAGCAGTGAAATACCTGACTGAAATACCTGATACCAGTGCTTATTGCATGCTCGGTGAGCGTTTTAACAGTTGAGTAGGACCCAACGAATCCCCAGAGTCTGTTGCTCATTGATCCAGCCCGATGCTCACGATACTATTGTTCACCTATTCGAGCATCCACTTTCCCATTCCGGGTGTGGACGCGCTTAGAAATAAAGTCAAGGAGACAAGGGATACAACCATTTAATGCCGCAGCAGCTAGTGCCGTAAAAGCTAGAACACTTCCCGTCAAACAGTTTACAGGTAGGTGGCCAGCGCCTGGCTTGCGGAGTCCCTTTGGTGTAACCAACCGTGATACCGTCTCAGTACTTCACAGTTAAACCCCCTGGCACACTATTTCTCACAATCCCGCATTCTTCGGACAGTCCGCTATTACCAAAAATATTGCCACAACCAAGTTACATACCAGTACTTATTTCGCCACCATCTTTTGATGTCAGACACTGTGGGAGGTTGTTTCACCTTGCATACACTTCTTGGGGGGCATAAAGTGTACACGTATTTTCGGCTCCATGGACTAACCTTCCCTATGATTGCTTTTGTTCTCGCATGCACTCTGAATGCGATTTTAAACTATTGTGTCCTACCGGTGCTTTGCCTGCTTGCCAGCCATCCACGTCCCGCATGATAAAATACACATTTGTGCCCCGGTCGAATTTCCACTTTTCAAATTACGTTTGTGCAGTGATCACATCTGACTGCATCTGGGTGGATCCTTAAGTCAGAACAGAACCACGCGCATCAAATTATTGGGCCCCATAACTGCCACAAATAGTAGTGCCGAGTCCAGCACCAGACCGGAAAGTCAATCCAGTGAAAATTATATATTCATCTGATCGACCTGTACAGTCAGGACCGCCTACCCAATCCCAGGTTGTACTCTGTCGTATTTGGCAGTCATATCCAACAGCTAAATAAAGGATAGCAGCAATTGTGCTGACTCAATGACTTCTTACTCTGTCGTGTAGACATATTCCGACTCTTCACTTTTGGCTGTGTTCATCTGGGTCACCGCCATATGTTTGCACAAGTCATTCGATTTCACTTCCATTCTTGTGGCTTTCTCTCCCCGCCGCTTATATGATGGCATCCAGCCTTCAACTCCGGCTGTCTACAATGCTTGGTGTTGGTCACGAACCCGCTATATTCTTAATGGTGCGTTCGTTAGTAGATGCGACCTGCCGAAACATATATTATGAATCCTGTGCCCCACCCGATCCACGACACCTGGAACGTACCGATGACACAAGGACCTTGCAATTAGATGTCGAGTTAATGCAACTTAAAAGCACATCTAACTCATTCTGCATCATGCTAGGGAAATCCACCACGTTCTGTGCCGTTGCCTGCAGAGGCATTGTGAATTAACAACAGTGGGGGGAATCAAGAAACCTGTTGCAGCAAATTTGACTTACCCAGATTGGGCTGTATTACTGCCTCTACCAAGGTAATGAGACTTTGTGTCCATGCTTGACGCATTTCACATTGCTTAATAAGGTCTTCTAGGTGGGGATCCAAAGGTGTCTTTTCAGTTGTTTTGAATACTTCTTCAGTTTTCTAGCAACCCTTAACATGAAGTATGAATCCATTACCTGTAAAGTCCTGCTTAAAAAACTGGAAGCATTCTGTTTGAATTGCTTGAATCCGTCATCCATTGCAACGCGGAAAGTCACTGGAATCACCAAAAAGGTGCGCCTACCCGCAACCCCGAATAGTTTATATAAACAAGAGAAGTCCCTATTACATATAGGGCCACATAGTGAATAGGCCTTTACTGTCAACACATCTATCAGGTTCTTCTACCAGAAACTCGCAGATTGCTGATTAGCACCAGAAACTTCATGGCTCGCAATACAATTTTGACGGCCAAGGAAACAGGCAGAACGAATCCGGTATAAAATCGCAGGTTTCTGGTCCATTTGGGGATCCCAGTAGATCATAGGCCAAGAGGAGTGGATGGGAGCCAACCAGATCTTCCGAACCATATATTGTAGAAGTTCAAAGCTTGTAAAGATGAGGGAATGGCATGAGATTAAAAAAGCATGGTGAGTATGGGGAGACATCAGATGGGACACGCATTCACGTATTGATACACAGGATCGAGTCTGTTGCCCAATTTTCCCGGGTCGCTTTTGTTTTCGTCAGTCAGTGGCTGTCGTTCACCTCAAAGGCACAGGTGAAAAAAGGGTGTGGCACTGCCCTTTATGTTCTCATCGCGGGGCACTATCGTAGTGTCTGTAATCTGCTGTCACGTTTACATTTTTCCTGAACTTAAACTACACTTTGTAACTGTCGTACATATCGTATCATGACGTTTGTTTCAATGTTAGGAATATACAATTTTCCGGTGCGACCTGCTGACTTCTTGCCGAACGAGTGTATTTACGCTCCGTTGAACAGTTTGTTGACTGCTGAACTAGTGAGACCAAATCTGTGTGTCTGTGTCAACTGTTGAACGTCACAATAGATATTTGTGCTTCCTTTTGCCGATGCTTTCATGATAAATCATGTTTAATTGCAAACTTTAAACAATTTGTAGGGCAAATTATTGAATCCAGCTCTGAATTCGCTTCAGAGTTTTCGCAGGCTGCCGGACTGCTTGGATCTACGCAATTCGCGAGTCCTCATTTGACTACTCAGTTTCTTCCTAATGTGATTTTGTGATTATGTATTGGTTACTTTTTTAGTCAATTCATTCGAACAGGCCGATAAGTTCCTGGTCCGCTGCACTGTGCTTGCCAGTGCAAGAATTCGCACAATAGTAATTTAAACTGTGTTCTAGAAGGAGCGTAAACAACCGACGGAGCAAGGTCATTCTACGCGCCTACCACTATTGTAAACCTCTTAAACTGTCTTTAGACGATACATTTCCCTTCGCTTGTATTCCAAACCATGGAACAAGCTCTCACCTCATATCCGTAATAAATCAGCTAAAGACCACCGATTCTTACCTTCCTATTGAGCGCCTTTTCACGCCACAACTTACACTGAACACGTTTTTGACATGGGCTTTAAGCCATTATAATTTGTACTCTCATCCAAACTGCGCTATAACTAGGCCCTACCATACACACTCACCAGCTTGAACCCCCTGGCACCAACCCAGAAGTGAGGCAACTACACCTCCAGTGTTCTGTTTATAAGTCACCACTTTATCTAACTCTTATACGGACATTCGCTTTCTGCGACTACTCCTGCCCTTGCTCTCTGGAGCGCATGTCACGGTGAGCGTCTAGCGCCTGCCATCATCATTATCTTCAATCCTGTTTCCACTGACCTGGTCGAATTTCCTTACCTCTGGTCGTAAGCATTCGTACCCAGCCAACTTATTCATAGTTCTTCGAGCCTGGTCCCATCCCTAAATAGTTCAATCAGCTCTATTTGATGTATGAGGTTTTGCTTCGACTGGTTTTAACTAGCCTTAACCAAATTGAGGCTTTAGTTACTCGCTGTTCAAAAACATTCTGAATCCGCTGACCATGCGCAGTGCACGCACATCAAATGGCGGGTCTGAAGATGGGCTACGAATGAAAAACTTGCCTGGTTCCACAGCCCACCCATTCTCACAAGCACATAACACCGGTGGCCTTTACTTGACATGGTGGTTCACAGCAATGCTTCGACGTCGTTTTGCCATAGTGCACGGTCTCTGAACATTACCGTTCGACGCCTATCGCCAAAAGGGTAGTTGTCGTTTCATTTGCCTCCACAATTCGCCTCTCCCAGTGGCTGTTTGCTGTTCGCTTGTTCGAACTGAGTCGGCTGTTTTACTGGCCTGGCTTTCCCCATGACGGATAAAATATCCGGTGGCTGGAGTCATTATTGTAAAGACCGCAATTATGGCTGCTTGGTGGTTTGTCACCCCGCAGATCTGGTGGCGTGCGCGAATGACCAAAAACTGATGTGGTGGACCGGTGCGTCGTGCAAGGAGGGTCGCCTTGGTATGTTGAAACGTGATGCTTTCCTGTACTCGCCACACTTCAAGTAGCACCGTGCATCGCGCATCGCCGGTGGTTCAAAGCCTAGTCTTTGATTCACGGATTCACGTATTGCTACACAGGATCGACGCTTTTGCCCAAGTTTCCTGAGTCGGTTTTGTTCTTGTCGGTCAGTGGCTGTCGTTCACCACAAATGCACAAGTGAAAAAAGGTGTAGCGCTGCTCCTTATGTTCTCGGCGTGGGGCAGTATGTTTGCCGGGGCGATGATTCGCATAAATAATTGTCTGATAGTGCATTAAACTGGGTTCTAGAAGGAGCGTGGACAACCGTCGGAGGAAGGTCATTCGACGCAGCTGCAACCCGAAATGAGAAAAAATTTTGTCTAATGAATGTGTGCTGTGAGCTTGAAAATTTTCTTACTATGTCCCCGCCGGGTGTTTGCTGGGTCAACGGTAAAAAACCTGTTTGCCAAGTTTTGTTCAAACAGGGCGCAAGTAAGAATTAGGTCCTCTCGGAGGCGATGGTACTCCATGAGGAAGAGATAAAGCATCACGAGACGCGTTTCGTAGTCCACGGATTTGAGGCCGGCAACCATTCTCGTGGCGGCTCGCTGGACACGCTCAGTGAGGGTGACGTTTTTCATGCGTCCTGAGTAGACAACTTGGTTAGCGTATTCCAGGAGCGGTCTGACGTGGGCACTATGGAGTAGTTGGAAGTCCATGCGAGTAATACGGGAGGAGGTGCGTCGGATCATCCGTAAAATGGCAAATGCCTTTTGGGCAGATTTCTCATGGTGCAGTGAGAAGGACAAGTTTGAGGAGATCCAGATGCCCAAATCCTTTTTGGCATCTATCCTCATAATGATTTCTGGTCCCTTTTCACCATGCATAACAAAGTCATTCGCTGAGTCTCCTCCAAACGACATATGGACGCACTTTTCGTCATTCAGAGGAAGGTGCCAGTCCAACGACCACTGCTTGGCAGCGTCTACATCCACTTGGAGGGCGCTGGCATGGGAACTCCGGGATTTCAAGTGGTCCGCGAAAAGTAGACATGGACTTGCAAGAACATCTGGGAGGTCGTTGACGTAGATCAGAAGCAGCACTGGTCCCAGGACGGAGCCCTGAGGAACTCCAATGGAGACCGGCGCTGGAGAAGAGCAGGTCGAGCCTATTCTCACTCGCAACGATCTGTCTGATAGGAACGCCTTGATCCAGCGAACGATTTTCCCTTGAATCCCGTAAGACTCGAGTTTGTGGAGCAGCGGGACGTGTGGGACCTTATCGAATGCTTTTGAGAAGTCGGGAAAATATGAGTCCTTCGTCCTTGGCTTGAGTTAAGCTGTCCATAAACAGGAGCATGTTTGTCACGCAAGAGCGGTGTGGGCGCCCTCCACACTGGCAAATCATCTACACCTGGTGTTCCGTCAGTCGCTTGACGAAGGCCGCTCTCCCTCTGCTTGGACGGAAGCGATTGTCATGCCAATCTACAAAACTGGTGACCGACTATCGCCTGGCAGCTTATAGCTTTGCCAGTTTGCTGACACAACCGGGACGAGTCCGGCCCAGCAGCAACAAACAAAAAGCGACAGTGCTCTTTTATTGATTTCCTGAGTAAACGTCCATGCTCAGAACCCCTGGCAAATGGCGAAGCACCCGTGCTACTGGAGGGGCGACGGGTATACGAAAGCATCATGGTACAACGTAACACGGTGATCCGCCTTGCAGTACGTACCCACGCACACACAAGTTTTTCATCCCTCGTGCATGCTACGAGGTCTGCAAAGTGAAATGTCACCAAGCATTCATAATTGCGGTTTGTGCATTTTTTAAATAAGTCCAGGTACCAAATATTTTATCTGACCGGGAGAGAGCCGGGCCAGCAAAACAGCTCAGCATATTCAAACAAGCAAACTACAGGCAGTCGTTAGAAAAGGCAGGTTGCAGAGGTAAACGAGGCGGGAGCTACCACTGCAATGATGAGGACAGAACGGAGATGGCCGGAGCATGTGAACCATAGCTACACAATGGCATCGCGTGAGCTAGCGAGTCAAACATTGGCGTATTGCAATGTTGCGTACCTGTGATGAATGGGTTGTGAGGCATATAATACGTTCTAAGGCATGGGGAACTCTGACGTTTGCTTGTTTTATGTTGGTCAGGGTCAGGTAAGACGGAGCAGCACCAATCAAACAGAGCAGATGAAGTAGTTCGGGGCACAGACCTAGCTGAGAGGAACCTGGCCTAAGTAGCTTCAAGCCAGTTAAAGAGATTCGAAAAGTTATAGTAGGAGGGTGGCTTGTCTTTTTATTTATTCTTTTCATTATTTTTTCGTCCACTAACAATACCTTCTCCAAACGCAGAGGTGGTTTGGGCATCGTTCACAACAGAGAGTATTGAGTAGGGCGGCTGCGGCTTTACACGTAAGGAAGTTATCTACAGACTGTAAAAACGTATGTTGAAGTGTGATATTTTGAAACCGACCTGGGAAACTGTTCCAGATGTGGCTGTAGTAATCCAGGAAGAGGTAGTGTCATAGGTTAATACGCGCTTGAGGGCATACGAAAAGAGTGCTTGAGTTACAGAATTTATGGCGTGTATATGACTTTACGTTTAACCTAGCTTCCGCTATAAAATCATTTAGCTAAAACAGACGGTGTAGAAGAGTTAAATTGAGCCTTAACCTTCTAGGCTATGGTGGCTGAAGGCCTATGATTATACAGCAGGAGCGTTAGTATAGAGTGCAGGTCTATGGGGATAGCTTCCTGGTAAATGAACATTAGACGTTTTCGAATGGCAGCCTACGGCTTTGGGCATAAAAGGAAGGGAAATCAGATCAGAAT